CTGTTGCATGAACTGAGAAAGAATATGAACGACATAACAAATATCAGGACGAGTCAAAGTGAGATAGATAAGTTTGCCAACTACACGCCGATATTGCTCAGGATTCGACTAGAGAGGCCCATCATCACTCTGTAAGCCATGATTTTGAGTCATGGGAAAAGAAGCGGGCTTGGCTCCGAGCAAACCTGTCTCAGTAAGAATATCCAGAGCGTACTTGCACTGACATAAGAAAATGTCAGTATTATTGTGGGCCACCTCAATACGAAGGAAATACTTAATAAATCCTAAGTCCTTGACAGGAAAACGTTGGCCCAGGATAAGTTTAAAATCAGCAATCAAGGAGGGAACATTACCAGTGATGAGTAAATCATAAGATTGGCAGAAGCCAAATGATTTAAGAGCACTAGTAAGCTTAGAGAACCAGCAGTGTGGTGCCTGACGTAGCCCGTACAGAGATTTGAGCAACTTACAAATGTGACCTGGACGAGTAGAAGAATATCTGGGCGGAAAATGCATATATACATCTTCATGTAAAGCCCCGTGCAGGAAGGCATTATCAACGTCCATTTGATGAATTTCCCAGTCACGAACAGCGGCCACCGTAAGAATGGTATGAACCGTCACCATTTTTGCCACGGGAGCAAAAGTTTCATCATAGTTCACTCCATGCACCTGTCAGTTACCACAAACAACAAGTCGCGCTTTATAGCGCTCAACAGAACCGTCACTTTTATATTTTATTTTGTATACCTATTTGCAATAAACTGGTTTCTTTCCCGGAGGTAAGGGTATAACCTGCCATGTCCCATATGTTTAAGGGCATTAATCTCGCGCTACATTGCCTCACGCCATTGAGAATCCTTGACCGCCTCCTTATAAGTTTGAGGTTCACGATTGAGACCAATGGCCGTAAGAAACCCTCGGTGCTGCATACAAAAACGATCATAATTCACAAAATCAGATAAGGGATATGATATGGAGTACCTGAGGGAACCGTGGAAGGTGAGGAAGTGGCCGGGGGAAGCTAGATTCACAGTATTCACATGCACGTCATAATCAGTATGCCATCCTGGGGGGAGGGTTCTTTCGCGTTGACTACGGCGAGGAGGAGGTGCCCCATTATTCTCATGAGAAGCTATCATGTGATTTGGGTGGAGACTAGGGAGAGGAGTCGACGTGTTCCCAATCTTCCAGGAGAGGAGTTGTCGTAGAATCTTGATTACCGTGGACCCCACTATGATGAGTATTGGACAAAGTATTACACTGATCATCATGTGCATTACATGTGTCGATATGATGCTTGGACGACTGCTTAGTCATCTCGTCGTATTCAACATGCTGCATGGGAGGAGCACTTGGAGCCATAAAGTCTTCTTGCACGTCAGTTGCAAATGGCATAATTCACTCAAAAAAACGTACATCTCGACACACGAAATGTTTATGCAATTCCAAAGGTATGCCTTCCACCTGTTTTAGGAGAAAGCATACCCAAGAAACACACACTTATGGCCACGTGGAGCAAATTTATCTCCTGAACGGTCCTTAAGATAAGCATAGCACAAGCAACAAAAAACACGTAGTTTGGTATATCTGGGAACCCGTCCATATAACAATTCATAAGGCGTTTTATTATTAATGACCCGGGAGGGCAGACGACTAATTAAATAGCATGCAGCTAAAATACATTCTCCCCAAAATTTGATGGGCAAATTAACATGAAATCGGAGTGCTTGGGCTATTTCTAGAATTTGTTTGTGTTTCCTCTCAACTCATCCATTTTGTTGTGACGTGTAAACACAAGTAGTTTGAAAAATTATTCCTTGTTCCAAAAAATAATTTTTCAGTCCACAAAAATCAGTGCCATTATCGCTTCTCACTATACGGACTTCCTTATTAAATTGTCTCTTGGTCATAGAAAGAAAACGTTTAAACACGGCACCAACTTCACTTTTATCATGTAATAAATGTACCCAAACAGCCCTAGAGTAGTCATCAACAATTGTGAGAAAATAACGAGCACCACACGAAGCTGGAAAACGATAAGGACCCCACACATCACAATGTATTATTTCAAAACTAGCAATAGCTCTAGCATCACTTATTTCAAACATATTTCTTGTCTTTTTGGCATGTAAACACGCATCACATACTTTATTATGCAAAGGAATACCAGAAAATACTTTACTTGAACTAGAAATAACTCTTTCTATCGAAGTTGATGGGTGCCCCAACCGTGCATGTCATAGGTTCCTGGACTCCACTATTCCCACTGCATTAACCATCACTTAATCTATACTGTGAAAATAGTAGACCCTCATGTCTTCTACTCACTCCAATCGACATCCTCGTAGGCGGGTCCTGTATCACACATATTTGATTAGTAAAATATAGAACGCATTTCATGTCATCAATTAAACGTGCCAATGATATTAGATTACATGTAAGCCCCGGAACAAAAAGCACATTTTCGAGGATAATTTTAGGACTAAGTTGAACTTGTCCCACATAAGTCGCATGTGTCACATTTCCATTAGGTAAAGTTACCAGAACATGTGATATTATTTTCTTCGTGAGAAAACAATCCTTACTTCCGGTCATGTGGTATGAGGCCCCTGAATCAAGCAACCAATGAAATTGATTGGATGTACCTGGAAGTTTCTCATTCGGAGAGGTAAGCTTACAATTTTCCATAAGCTGTACAAAACCTTTCCATTGTTTTTCGGTAAACATTGGAGGCACGGGCGAGGCAGTAGCTTCCTCCTGTGAACTACCAATTATTTCGGGCTTGTCTCCATTCTCATGCGCTTGTATGGCGTTAGCGATGGCTCTTCCTCGGCCTCTTCCAGTTCCGCGCCCACGTGATCCATGCCCTTTGCCAGGATTATCATACCACCAGTCGGGGTATTTTCCCGTCCTCTTGAATCAATTTTCAAATGCATGATCACCCTTTTTGCAAAAGGTACACACAACATGATGATCTCCCCCTATACTTCCAGTAGGTCCCCTAACGGCAAATGCAACAGCTTCACTTGTTTCTTCTCGTCCATGCATCATGTTGTGATAACGTTCCTCTTGAGTCATGATCTGATAAAGTTTAGAGAGGGCTGGAAGATCATGTTGACTAAGAATATTGGAACGTAAGGTCCCGCATGTCTCATGATCAAGCCCAAGAAGGAATTCATGAGTTTTCTCCAACTCAATTTCCTTTCGAAATTCCTTCTCCAGGTCACACTCACATCTCTTGCATGAGCATTTTAGTATCACCTGGAAACCTTCATATTCATCCCACAATCCCTTCAACCGCCCAAAGTATTGTGCAATTGATTGTCCACCTTGATGGCAACTTCAGATTAAATTCTTAAGCTCGTGAATTCTCATGGTATCTCCCACCGCAAATCGGGCCTTGAGATCATCCCACATGTCTGACGCATTGTTCATATACGTAACGTTCGTTCGCAAGTTTGGATCAATTGCCATCATAATCCAACCAACGAGCATTGAGTTGACGGTAACCCAATCCTCAATGTCCTCCAAACGTTCGGTCGGTTGTTCGATACTTCCATTCATAAATCCGATTTTCCGTTTAGCACAGAAAGCATTGGTCATGACCGTAGCCCACTCGCGGTAATTGTTTTCTCCCTTGAGAAGAAAACCACAGATATTAACACCCGAAAAATCTGAGGGTGACAAATAATACGGTGAGGAAGAGTCGATGATCTTCCTTCAGGTCGGTTTGCCAGAGTTCAGGTTGGTGTTCGTTGATGAATTCTCAGTATTGGGATTCATCGTGATATGGGCAGAGTATTAACCGCTCTGATACCAAATTGAAAACAGGAATAAATATTTTGCGGAAGAACTTGTTTCATTATACATCAAAAGAGTACATATATACACGTAGAGTTCCGTGCGTGTGCCACAAGTCGGCCTAAAGAATCGGATCTCAAATAACAAGAGATACAATTTAAAATGTATTCTATGTACACTAGACTCCTTATGAGATAAAGCTGCGAAGTAATGGAAGCCCCTTCTGGAGCCGTGATCAAGTTACACATGTGCATGGATATGTACGTAAAATATAGTAGCATGCAACAGTCTATAAGTTTCCTCCATGCCACAGACCAGAGCCGCAGAGCGATTATTTAATATAACTTTATGTAAATAGCAAATGCACAAAGCGGAATAGTTTTATTAACTAGACTAGAAAGCAGACATATATACAAGGCATTGGAGAGGAATGAAAATAACCTTCGATAAGCAGAGTAGTCGGCCCGTGACCTATATTCGTTTTGAAACGTCCACCCCTATCCCCCGGGACTATTAGTCACGATTGTCATAACCTTCGATAAGTTATGTTACCGTCATGGGTCATTTTGTAACACCGCCCCCGAGTATTCGTACTGTACCAAATTATGTATTGAACCTTGAGAAATGTATAAAAGCATTTTTACGTGATTGTAAATTTTTATCATTTCTATTACGTGAATAGTAAAATTCACGTGGGGCCCACACCGGATGTGGGGCCGCCCGATATTATCGGGACCACATATTATATTAATCTTGGATTAGATAATATGTATATGGTGGTGGATATCCTAATTGGGCCATGACAATGGCACAAGGTTGACCGGTTGGTCAAACGGGCCAAATTATCGGTATCGGCAATTTATTAGATAACAGCCCGAAAAGGGATTTCGGAGACTTCTAATTTAAGTTGGAGAATGCATATTGATCCTAAGGTCCAATAAGGATTGGGAACAAGTGTTATATTTTATTTGACCCGATAAAATAAAATATACTTAAAACAGTTCGGAAAATACAACTTTCGGGACCGATTGTACACTTGGGAACATATAGGGATGGACTCCCACATGAGTGGGGGCCACCCCACGAATTTGGTGCTGCAAATGTCAAAGGGAGCCGCACCTAATGCTGCTGATTGAGGCTGGAGATGAGTGGGAGACAAGATGAGAAAAGAAAGGGGCCCTCCTCCCACATTATTATGAATGAGCCAAAAGAAGGAACCATCCTCACCCCCCACACCTCATCCACTCGACCCAGACCTCAATCATAGGGAGAGAAGCTCTGCTAAAACTCCATTTTTCATCCACCATTTTCGCACAAAGCAAGGGGAGGAAGAAGGAAGGGAATAGAGAAGAGAAAAGTTGGTTTTGGAGAGGAAAAACTTGTGTTTAGCAAGGTAAGGACTCCATTAATCCCATTTCTTGTTCTTCAATACTCTTTTATGATTATTCAATCATATTTCACACCCTAGTAATGTTCTACACGTTGGGATGTGTAGAAAGAGGGGTTGGAAGGTAGTTCTAAGTCCAAGAACGGACTTAGAAGCCAAAGTGACCGGTTCGCCGGAAAATAACCTTTTTAAGGTTATTTGTATTACTGTGGGTTTTATGATGATAAAACCTTGTTAGTAACTTGTCTAAGGTATTCAAGGAACTTTCACGGGGTTGAAAAGGTCGCCGGAGTTGTCGCCGGAGTTCGTTGAAGTTCGCCGGAGTTTCGTCGGAGCTAAATCGGGAAGGCTAGAACTTCATAAGCTTCATTAAGGTGAGAAGACGGCTTTATGCTTTATAACTTTTGCGTGAGGCATGAGATTACCTAAAGTAATCAAGGATATGTTTTGTGGAATGATTAAAGATAATCAAGTATTTGCTTATGCCATGATTTTGCATGAAACATAGTTGAAAAGCATGTTATGTAGGTTTGGTGATTAAAAATGTGATAACACATTTTGTGTGATGATCCAGGGGTCCAAAATGGTATTTTTGGATCAAGGACATCAAGAAGTATATGTGTATAAAATTTCAAGTTAATCGGACTCCGTTTGGGTGGTCAAACGGGCGTTGACCACCAAGTCAACTGCCATACCCGACCGGGTATTGACACATACCCGACCGGGTATTTGTTGAAAACCAACCTTGTGGACTACTGTCTCCTGTACTCGACCGAGTATGGGTTAATACTCGATCGAGTATTGGGTTATGCTCAAAACGGACAATTTTGAGCGAGTTAATGTGGGCCGTTCAAGTGGGACCCGCCCGCATTGGTTCCTAAGGATGATTATATGACTATAGGGCTAGGTATTGTCCATAGTTGAAGGAACGAAAGGTTAGCCATATCCAGGTTAGGGTTTGGTGAGGATTTAGTTTGGGGTTGAGTATCCCCGGGACTATAAATGATCCTGAAACTCGGTTGGGGTTGAGCATCCCCGGGACATTAAATGATTCTGAAACTCGGTTGGGGTTGAGCATCCCCGGGACCATACATGATCCTGAAACTCGGTTGGGGTTGAGCATCCCCGGGACTACAAATGATCATGAAACTCGGTTGGGGTTGAGCATCCCCGGAACATTTAATGATCCTGAAACTCGGTTGGGGTTGAGTATCCTCGGGATGCTAAGTGCTCCCAAAACTCGGTAGGATATTATGAATGTAGAATGTAGCTGGTGAGCTAGGCATTCGGGAAAAGGGTGAGAAAGGTCAGGTAAGAACTTTATCTCTAAAAGACTCTTTGAATGAAATGACCTACGGGTCGAGTATTTTACATATATATACAGTATGTATCATCGGATGAATGAGTCACACATATATATATATATATATATATATATATATATGTATCACCCTATTTTTGGGTCTCGTGTCTGAAACATTAGTTATTCTTCATATAGCCTGCTTGTCACTAGTACTTCTATGGAGTACTGACCCCTCCGGGGGCCCTCACATTTTTCAGGTTGAGGCTAGAGCCCTACTACCTGCACCTTTGCCTAGGGTGACTGATCGAGAAGGAAGACGTGGTTCGTGCTTCCATTCTTATTTCAAATGTATAAACCGCTCATGGATTTTTGAACAATATTTTCATCAAAACAGTTGGGGGCCTGCGTGCCCATGTTTGCCACGTGTGGCTAAGTATCAAACATTTTATTATTTCCGCATTTGTTTTATTATGATATTGATGTTGATTGTATGTGTTTACTAATCGGTTTGGCAATAGGATCAATCGGACGCCTTGTACAACTCAATAGGGATGAACTGTTGTTGTTCTTATCGGGTTGTACGGCGGTTGTCTACGTGGCTCGGATGCGGTCCGGGGCGTGACAATTAAGTGGTATCAGAGCCATCGATTTCTAAACTATATAATTAACCTCTCAATATGGTTATCCTCAAAAAGTTTTGAATAAAACCATGAGCAACAGTTTTTGTACTTAAGGAACCGTTGGAAACCAAGTTATTGACCTCTTATTGTTAAGACGGTACCCTTAACAGTTTGTTGGCCATAATGTTGGACCAAGTGGTGTCTTTCGTACTAATCCGTCAATTGACATTGAAACGAGTCTAATGACTCATTCCTTATTTCTTTCAGAAATGGAGGGTGGACGCAGGATAACTAGGAGGAACCCGACAGGGCATGTGCCGGGGGCCACCGGGCATGCCACTCGGGCGGAATCACGGACCTCTAGGGGTAGAGGCCGGGGCCAAAGCCGAGGAGGAGGCCGAGGCAGGGGTCGTGGGCGTTCTACCACGCCGACGACAAGCAGCACACGCGTCGGTTCCGTGCACCCGTCATGGGCCACCGAACCGGACGACTTCACCTATGCTCCAAGCACGGAGCAAGAGGAGACCCCGTACAACGGGGAGGACTGTGAGGAAGAAGATGAGGATGATGATCCACATTACGACCGTATGAGTGAGGTACTAGAGTGGTACCTCGAGAATAAAGCAAAGAGAGAGCAGCGGCGCCAAGCTAGGCAGGCTAGGCAAACCATGGGGCAGGGAAGCCGAAGTGCTTCTAGTGCTCCATCCGGAGCATTTGGAGGAGACACGATGGTGCGTATCTCCAAGTACCTCAAGGAGGCCAGGGCCTTGGGGTGCAAATCATTTGATGGCAAGGGCGACATATCCGAGGCCGCCGACTGGATTAAGAAGCTGAATGATGCTTCTAGGGATATGCAAATTGGACTCGACGTGAAGTTGAGGGTTGCCACCAGGCTACTGGAAGGGGTAGCTGCTGTATGGTGGGAAGGCGTGGAAGGAAAGTTCCACGGTGAGGCCACTTGGGAGAAGTTCGAAGTGGAATTCTATAATCAGTACTACTCAACTTTTGAAGTCAATCTCAAAAGAAGGGAGTACACAAACCTGAAACAGGAGGATGGTTGCTCGGTGAGGCAATTGGAACAAAGGTTCCGTGACTTGGCCCGATTCATCCCAGAATACTCTCTGGATGAAAATCGAATGGCCAATCATTTTTGGGATGCTCTACAGTTGGACATCCGTGACCGGGCTACTTACCATCACAACATGACATTTAGCCAGATTGTCGATCAGGGGCTCCTTGGGGAAGCCCAATGGAACGAGAGGAAGTTGAGGGACGCCGAGGAGGCGAAGAAGAGAAGATGGGGAAACTCGGGACCCCAAGACCACACCCGGAAGCATCACGCTGGGGGTGGCAATTCATTCAGGGCGCCGGCACCACCGGCGAAAAGGAACAAAGGTTCAGGAGGGCAAGGGCCCAAACCGGGGGGTGTGGGACCACCCAGGTGCGCAAACTGCGGTAAGAACCACGGGGGAAGGTGCAATGAACCACCCCGGTGCTTCAAATGCGGTAGCACGAGCCACCTCAAATCCTCTTGTCCAATGCTGAACGGGGGAGGACCATCGGGAGCCATGGGAGGACCTACGACTAGTAGGGGACGTGCGGGGCCGTCTCAGGCCGGCACGGGGAGGAGCGGACCCACGGCTAGCAACGCCGCATCCGTTAACCAAGGGAGGACCCAAGCACGGGTGTATGCAATGACCGAGGCTGATGCTCGGGCCAACCCGGACTCCATTGCAGGTAATCTCTTGATTTCACACGTATTTGCTCATGAAATGGGTTGAAAAATCTTCAAAATTATGAAGGACCCGATCGGGTACTCCTATAGACCCGACCGGGTATAAGCTATGCTTCGAGTTTGAAGTGTGCACCCGTTCGGGCAGCCAAGGCAGGATGCCTTATTTTTGACATTTCGAGCAATACCCGATCGGGTATGGCTATATACCCGACCGGGTATGTGTAGATTTTGAACTTCGAAGCGTGTACTCGATCGAGCGTAGAAAACAGGGAGCTTTTATTTGTGGATTTTGAGTGATACCCGACCGGGTATAGTATATACCTGACCGGGTATTGACATTTTGCCCGAATTCGAGGCTGGTACTCGACCGAGCAAGGAAAACAGGGGGGTTTCCCCTTAAGAATTCGAGAGATACCCGACCGGGTAGCAGACCTTACCCGACCGGGTATAGGGTAATTCTAGGCTGAAATTTTTCCGTCCGGTCCTTTTCTGTCGGGACGACGACTAGGGTGTCTTACATGACTTATATATGTAGGAACACTAAAGATCAACGATAGGGATGCGAGAATTCTCATCGATACCGGGGCACAACGTTCGTTTGTGAGCGAAGCGTTTGCCAAGGGATTGAACATGCCTTTGGTAGCAATGATGCAACCTTTGCTGGTCTCTACGCCATTGGGAGATGATGTAGAGCGGAAACACTACTATCCCTCGTGTAACGTAGGGATAGGGGGGCACTGTCTAACGGGTGACCTTGTGCCGTTAGATATGCTCGAGTTTGATGCTATACTTGGCATGGATTGGCTCGAAAAACACCATGCGAAGGTAGATTGCTACACCAAGGTGTTAGAACTAAAGGATGGAGAAGGAAACACTCTATGCTTCGAGGGAGATAGAGGGAAATTCAACCCTTGTATCATATCGGCCATAAGAGCAAGGCGTATGATGAGGAAAGGGTGTCAAGCATACTTGGCCTATGTCATAGGCAAGGAGGGCAAGGAAAAGAGTCTCACTGAGGTGAGAGTGGTGAGTGAGTACCCAGAAGTTTTCCCTGAAGAACTCCCGGGACTCCCACCAGATCGAGAAATTGAGTTCACCATTGAAGTAGAACCCGGTACAAAACCCATCTCGATTCCTCCATATCGGATGGCACCGGCTGAACTTCAAGAGTTGAAGGTGCAATTGGAAGAATTGCTGGACAGCGGATTCATCAGGCCGAGTCATTCACCATGGGGAGCACCGGTACTATTTGTAAAGAAGAAGGATGGTACACTAAGAATGTGTATCGACTACCGTCAGTTGAACAAGGTCACGATAAAGAACAAATATCCTTTACCAAGGATCGATGACTTGTTTGATCAACTACGGGGGGCAACGGTGTTCTCTAAGATTGACTTGAGGTCAGGATACCATCAACTGAAGATCAAGGAGAGTGACATACCCAAAAGTGCATTCCGCACGCGGTATGGTCACTATGAGTTTCTAGTAATGTCGTTTGGGCTTACGAACGCCCCCGCGGCATTCATGGACCTCATGAACCAAGTATTTCACCAATACTTAGACCAGTTCGTCATAGTGTTCATTGATGACATTTTGATATACTCCATGAATGAAGAGGAACACGAAGAACATCTAAGGCTTGTGCTTGAAACACTGCGGGAGAAGCAACTCTTTGCCAAATTCTCTAAATGTGAATTTTGGCTTGGGGAGATCGGTTTTCTCGGGCATGTGGTATCGGGCTCGGGCATTTCAGTTGATAACTCCAAGATTGAGGCGGTCACTAATTGGGAGAGGCCCAAGAACGTGAAGGAGATAAGGAGTTTCCTCGGTTTAGCGGGGTATTACCGCAAATTCGTGGAAAAGTTCTCGGTGATAGCATCTCCACTCACGAAGCTCACTAAAAAGGGGGCTAAGTTTATGTGGGATGACAAGTGTGAGAAGGGGTTTCTTGAGCTAAAGAAACGTTTGACCGAAGCACCAGTGCTTGCCTTGCCCGTGCAAGGGTTAGGGTATGACATCTACAGCGATGCTAGCATTCAGGGACTGGGATGTGTACTGATGCAATCAGGGAAGGTAATTGCTTATGCTTCTCGGCAGTTGAGGAAGCATGAAGTAAACTACCCCACACATGATCTGGAGCTAGGTGCTGTGGTATTTGCATTGAAGATTTGGAGGCACTACCTCTACGGGGAGTTGTGTCACATCTACACCGACCACAAGAGCTTGAAGTATGTGTTCACTCAGAAAGAGTTGAACATGAGACAGAGGAGATGGATGGAGTTGATTAAGGATTACAACTTGATCATTGACTATCATCCAGGCAAGGCTAATGTTGTAGCTGATGCACTGAGCAGAAAGAGCTCATCATCAGGGGTTTTACTCACATGCTTACGGGCACTGAGGGCACGCGTGGAGGTATCCACGGATGGGGCGCTATTGGCCAGATTTGAGGTGAGACCCACCTTATTAGATGACATCAGAGCACGTCAAGGCAATGACGAGGAATTTCAGAAAATCCGAGAACGGATGCTTGTGGGGCCCGTCGAGGGTTTCCGTGAGAGAGAAGATGGACTTCTACTATTCAAGGAACGAGTTTGTGTACCATCGGATGAGGAGCTCCAAAAATCTATCCTTGAGGAGGCTCACTCATCTGTGTATGCCATGCACCCGGGCGGTACAAAGATGTACCGGGATTTGAAGGAAAGTTACTGGTGGTCAGGGATGAAGAGAGAAATTGCAGAATACGTGAGCCGTTGCCTTACTTGTCAACAGGTTAAGGCAGAGCACCAACACCCAGCAGGGTTACTACAACCACTTACCATTCCAGAATGGAAGTGGGAGCATGTTACCATGGACTTCGTGGTGGGTCTACCACGGACGGTTAGGAACTACGACGCAGTATGGGTGGTAGTCGATAGGCTGACCAAGAGCGCTCATTTCCTACCTATCAACACTACCTATACGCTCGAGCGGTTGGCCAAATTGTACACAGATGAGATTGTGAGACTGCATGGGGTTCCGGTTACTATAGTATCGGATAGAGACCCACGGTTCACATCACGGTTTTGGCCTAAGTTCCAGGAATCCATGGGTACGAAATTGAGGTTTAGCACCGCGTTTCATCCTCAAACGGATGGGCAATCTGAACGAGTGATTCAGATCTTGGAGGACATGTTAAGGGCATGTGCCTTGGAGTTCCAGGGGAGCTGGGACAATCAGTTGGCTTTAGTAGAATTCGCCTATAACAACAGTTATCAGGAAAGTATAGGCATGCCCCCATACGAGGCATTGTATGGGAGGAAATGCCGGACACCATTATGTTGGGATGAGGTCGGCGAGGCTAAGCTCGAGGGCACCGAGTTAGTCGAGATCACTAAGGAGAAGATAAAAGTCATACAGGATAGGCTCAAGGCTGCCCAAGACCGGCAGAAGAGCTATGCTGATAAACGTCGGAGGACGTTAGAGTTTGAGGTTGGTGACGAGGTATTTCTGAGGGTATCACCTTGGAAAGGGATCATCAGGTTCCTCAGTCGGGGTAAGCTTAACCCACGATACATAGGTCCGTTCAAAATCCTTGAAAGGATTGGGGTTGTAGCATACCGACTTCAGTTGACCCCAGAATTAGAAAAGATTCACAATGTATTTCATGTTTCTATGCTCAAGAAGTATGTGCGGGACCCGTCACATATTCTTGAGAAGCCACCGGTAGAAATCCGAGAAGACCTACATTATACGGTACAGCCGGTAAAGATCATAGACCGGCAGGTAAAGAAGCTAAGGAGCAAAGAGGTGCCGATGGTAAAGGTACTTTGGAAGAGTGATCGTGTCGAGGAGCAAACGTGGGAAGTGGAGACCCTAATGAGGGAACAATATCCATTTCTGTTTGATTAGACACATGGATTTCGGGGACGAAATCCCAAATAAGGGGGGTAGAACTTGTAACACCGCCTCCGAGTATTCGTACTGTACCAAATTATGTATTGAACCTTGAGAAATGTATAAAAGCATTTTTACGTGATTGTAAATTTTTATCATTTCTATTACGTGAATAGTAAAATTCACGTGGGGCCCACACCGGATGTGGGGCCGCCCGATATTATCGGGACCACATATTATATTAATCTTGGATTAGATAATATGTATATGGTGGTGGATATCCTAATTGGGCCATGACAATGGCACAAGGTTGACCGGTTGGTCAAACGGGCCAAATTATCGGTATCGGCAATTTATTAGATAACAGTCCGAAAAGGGATTTCGGAGACTTCTAAATTAAGTTGGAGAATGCATATTGATCCTAAGGTCCAATAAGGATTGGGAACAAGTGTTATATTTTATTTGACCCGATAAAATAAAATATACTTAAAACAGTTCGGAAAATACAACTTTCGGGACCGATTGTACACTTGGGAACATATAGGGATGGACTCCCACATGAGTGGGGGCCACCCCACGAATTTGGTGCTGCAAATGTCAAAGGGAGCCGCACCTAATGCTGCTGATTGAGGCTGGAGATGAGTGGGAGACAAGATGAGAAAAGAAAGGGGCCCTCCTCCCACATTATTATGAATGAGCCAAAAGAAGGAACCATCCTCATCCCCCACACCTCATCCACTCGACCCAGACCTCAATCATAGGGAGAGAAGCTCTGCTAAAACTCCATTTTTCATCCACCATTTTCGCACAAAGCAAGGGGAGGAAGAAGGAAGGGAATAGAGAAGAGAAAAGTTGGTTTTGGAGAGGAAAAACTTGTGTTTAGCAAGGTAAGGACTCCATTAATCCCATTTCTTGTTCTTCAATACTCTTTTATGATTATTCAATCATATTTCACACCCTAGTAATGTTCTACACGTTGGGATGTGTAGAAAGAGGGGTTGGAAGGTAGTTCTAAGTCCAAGAACGGACTTAGAAGCCAAAGTGACCGGTTCGCCGGAAAATAACCTTTTTAAGGTTATTTGTATTACTGTGGGTTTTATGATGATAAAACCTTGTTAGTAACTTGTCTAAGGTATTCAAGGAACTTTCACGGGGTTGAAAAGGTCGCCGGAGTTGTCGCCGGAGTTCGTTGAAGTTCGCCGGAGTTTCGTCGGAGCTAAATCGGGAAGGCTAGAACTTCATAAGCTTCATTAAGGTGAGAAGACGGCTTTATGCTTTATAACTTTTGCGTGAGGCATGAGATTACCTAAAGTAATCAAGGATATGTTTTGTGGAATGATTAAAGATAATCAAGTATTTGCTTATGCCATGATTTTGCATGAAACATAGTTGAAAAGCATGTTATGTAGGTTTGGTGATTAAAAATGTGATAACACATTTTGTGTGATGATCCAGGGGTCCAAAATGGTATTTTTGGATCAAGGACATCAAGAAGTATATGTGTATAAAATTTCAAGTTAATCGGACTCCGTTTGGGTGGTCAAACGGGCGTTGACCACCAAGTCAACTGCCATACCCGACCGGGTATTGACACATACCCGACCGGGTATTTGTTGAAAACCAACCTTGTGGACTACTGTCTCCTGTACTCGACCGAGTATGGGTTAATACTCGATCGAGTATTGGGTTATGCTCAAAACGGACAATTTTGAGCGAGTTAATGTGGGCCGTTCAAGTGGGACCCGCCCGCATTGGTTCCTAAGGATGATTATATGACTATAGGGCTAGGTATTGTCCATAGTTGAAGGAACGAAAGGTTAGCCATATCCAGGTTAGGGTTTGGTGAGGATTTAGTTTGGGGTTGAGTATCCCCGGGACTATAAATGATCCTGAAACTCGGTTGGGGTTGAGCATCCCCGGGACATTAAATGATTCTGAAACTCGGTTGGGGTTGAGCATCCCCGGGACCATACATGATCCTGAAACTCGGTTGGGGTTGAGCATCCCCGGGACTACAAATGATCATGAAACTCGGTTGGGGTTGAGCATCCCCGGAACATTTAATGATCCTGAAACTCGGTTGGGGTTGAGTATCCTCGGGATGCTAAGTGCTCCCAAAACTCGGTAGGATATTATGAATGTAGAATGTAGCTGGTGAGCTAGGCATTCGGGAAAAGGGTGAGAAAGGTCAGGTAAGAACTTTATCTCTAAAAGACTCTTTGAATGAAATGACCTACGGGTCGAGTATTTTACATATATATACAGTATGTATCATCGGATGAATGAGTCACACATATATATATATATATATATATATATATATATATATGTATCACCCTATTTTTGGGTCTCGTGTCTGAAACATTAGTTATTCTTCATATAGCCTGCTTGTCACTAGTACTTCTATGGAGTACTGACCCCTCCGGGGGCCCTCACATTTTTCAGGTTGAGGCTAGAGCCCTACTACCTGCACCTTTGCCTAGGGTGACTGATCGAGAAGGAAGACGTGGTTCGTGCTTCCATTCTTATTTCAAATGTATAAACCGCTCATGGATTTTTGAACAATATTTTCATCAAAACAGTTGGGGGCCTGCGTGCCCATGTTTGCCACGTGTGGCTAAGTATCAAACATTTTATTATTTCCGCATTTGTTTTATTATGATATTGATGTTGATTGTATGTGTTTACTAATCGGTTTGGCAATAGGATCAATCGGACGCCTTGTACAACTCAATAGGGATGAACTGTTGTTGTTCTTATCGGGTTGTACGGCGGTTGTCTACGTGGCTCGGATGCGGTCCGGGGCGTGACAATTAAGTGGTATCAGAGCCATCGATTTCTAAACTATATAATTAACCTCTCAATATGGTTATCCTCAAAAAGTTTTGAATAAAACCATGAGCAACAGTTTTTGTACTTAAGGAACCGTTGGAAACCAAGTTATTGACCTCTTATTGTTAAGACGGTACCCTTAACAGTTTGTTGGCCATAATGTTGGACCAAGTGGTGTCTTTCGTACTAATCCGTCAATTGACATTGAAACGAGTCTAATGACTCATTCCTTATTTCTTTCAGAAATGGAGGGTGGACGCAGGATAACTAGGAGGAACCCGACAGGGCATGTGCCGGGGGCCACCGGGCATGCCACTCGGGCGGAATCACGAACCTCTAGGGGTAGAGGCCGGGGCCAAAGCCGAGGAGGAGGCCGAGGCAGGGGTCGTGGGCGTTCTACCACGCCGACGACAAGCAGCACACGCGTCGGTTCCGTGCACCCGTCATGGGCCACCGAACCGGACGACTTCACCTATGCTCCAAGCACGGAGCAAGAGGAGACCCCGTACAACGGGGAGGACTGTGAGGAAGAAGATGAGGATGATGATCCACATTACGACCGTATGAGTGAGGTACTAGAGTGGTACCTCGAGAATAAAGCAAAGAGAGAGCAGCGGCGCCAAGCTAGGCAGGCTAGGCAAACCATGGGGCAGGGAAGCCGAAGTGCTTCTAGTGCTCCATCCGGAGCATTTGGAGGAGACACGATGGTGCGTATCTCCAAGTACCTCAAGGAGGCCAGGGCCTTGGGGTGCAAATCATTTGATGGCAAGGGCGACATATCCGAGGCCGCCGACTGGATTAAGAAGCTGAATGATGCTTCTAGGGATATGCAAATTGGACTCGACGTGAAGTTGAGGGTTGCCACCAGGCTACTGGAAGGGGTAGCTGCTGTATGGTGGGAAGGCGTGGAAGGAAAGTTCCACGGTGAGGCCACTTGGGAGAAGTTCGAAGTGGAATTCTATAATCAGTACTACTCAACTTTTGAAGTCAATCTCAAAAGAAGGGAGTACACAAACCTGAAACAGGAGGATGGTTGCTCGGTGAGGCAATTGGAACAAAGGTTCCGTGACTTGGCCCGATTCATCCCAGAATACTCTCTGGATGAAAATCGAATGGCCAATCATTTTTGGGATGCTCTACAGTTGGACATCCGTGACCGGGCTACTTACCATCACAACATGACATTTAGCCAGATTGTCGATCAGGGGCTCCTTGGGGAAGCCCAATGGAACGAGAGGAAGTTGAGGGACGCCGAGGAGGCGAAGAAGAGAAGATGGGGAAACTCGGGACCCCAAGACCACACCCGGAAGCATCACGCTGGGGGTGGCAATTCATTCAGGGCGCCGGCACCACCGGCGAAAAGGAACAAAGGTTCAGGAGGGCAAGGGCCCAAACCGGGGGGTGTGGGACCACCCAGGTGCGCAAACTGCGGTAAGAACCACGGGGGAAGGTGCAATGAACCACCCCGGTGCTTCAAATGCGGTAGCACGAGCCACCTCAAATCCTCTTGTCCAATGCTGAACGGGGGAGGACCATCGGGAGCCATGGGAGGACCTACGACTAGTAGGGGACGTGCGGGGCCGTCTCAGGCCGGCACGGGGAGGAGCGGACCCACGGCTAGCAACGCCGCATCCGTTAACCAAGGGAGGACCCAAGCACGGGTGTATGCAATGACCGAGGCTGATGCTCGGGCCAACCCGGACTCCATTGCAGGTAATCTCTTGATTTCACACGTATTTGCTCATGAAATGGGTTGAAAAATCTTCAAAATTATGAAGGACCCGATCGGGTACTCCTATAGACCCGACCGGGTATAAGCTATGCTTCGAGTTTGAAGTGTGCACCCGTTCGGGCAGCCAAGGCAGGATGCCTTATTTTTGACATTTCGAGCAATACCCGATCGGGTATGGCTATATACCCGACCGGGTATGTGTAGATTTTGAACTTCGAAGCGTGTACTCGATCGAGCGTAGAAAACAGGGAGCTTTTATTTGTGGATTTTGAGTGATACCCGACCGGGTATAGTATATACCCGACCGGGTATTGACATTTTGCCCGAATTCGAGGCTGGTACTCGACCGAGCAAGGAAAACAGGGGGGTTTCCCCTTAAGAATTCGAGAGATACCCGACCGGGTAGCAGACCTTACCCGACCGGGTATAGGGTAATTCTAGGCTGAAATTTTTCCGTCCGGTCCTTTTCTGTCGGGACGACGACTAGGGTGTCTTACATGACTTATATATGTAGGAACACTAAAGATCAACGATAGGGATGCGAGAATTCTCATCGATACCGGGGCACAACGTTCGTTTGTGAGCGAAGCGTTTGCCAAGGGATTGAACATGCCTTTGGTAGCAATGATGCAACCTTTGCTGGTCTCTACGCCATTGGGAGATGATGTAGAGCGGAAACACTACTATCCCTCGTGTAACGTAGGGATAGGGGGGCACTGTCTAACGGGTGACCTTGTGCCGTTAGATATGCTCGAGTTTGATGCTATACTTGGCATGGATTGGCTCGAAAAACACCATGCGAAGGTAGATTGCTACACCAAGGTGTTAGAACTAAAGGATGGAGAAGGAAACACTCTATGCTTCGAGGGAGATAGAGGGAAATTCAACCCTTGTATCATATCGGCCATAAGAGCAAGGCGTATGATGAGGAAAGGGTGTCAAGCATACTTGGCCTATGTCATAGGCAAGGAGGGCAAGGAAAAGAGTCTCACTGAGGTGAGAGTGGTGAGTGAGTACCCAGAAGTTTTCCCTGAAGAACTCCCGGGACTCCCACCAGATCGAGAAATTGAGTTCACCATTGAAGTAGAACCCGGTACAAAACCCATCTCGATTCCTCCATATCGGATGGCACCGGCTGAACTTCAAGAGTTGAAGGTGCAATTGGAAGAATTGCTGGACAGCGGATTCATCAGGCCGAGTCATTCACCATGGGGAGCACCGGTACTATTTGTAAAGAAGAAGGATGGTACACTCAGAATGTGTATCGACTACCGTCAGTTGAACAAGGTCACGATAAAGAACAAATATCCTTTGCCAAGGATCGATGACTTGTTTGATCAACTACGGGGGCAACGGTGTTCTCTAAGATTGACTTGAGGTCAGGATACCATCAACTGAAGATCAAGGAGAGTGACATACCCAAAAGTGCATTCCGCACGCGGTATGGTCACTATGAGTTTCTAGTAATGTCGTTTGGGCTTACGAACGCCCCCGCGGCATTCATGGACCTCATGAACCAAGTATTTCACCAATACTTAGACCAGTTCGTCATAGTGTTCATTGATGACATTTTGATATACTCCATGAATGAAGAGGAACACGAAGAACATCTAAGGCTTGTGCTTGAAACACTGCGGGAGAAGCAACTCTTTGCCAAATTCTCTAAATGTGAATTTTGGCTTGGGGAGATCGGTTTTCTCGGGACCATACATGATCCTGAAACTCGGTTGGGGTTGAGCATCCCCGGGACTACAAATGATCCTGAAACTCGGTTGGGGTTGAGCATCCCCGGAACATTTAATGATCCTGAAACTCGGTTGGGGTTGAGTATCCTCGGGATGCTAAGTGCTCCCAAAACTCGGTAAGATATTATGAATGTAGAATGTAGCTGGTGAGCTAGGCATTCGGGAAAAGGGTGAGAAAGGTCAGGTAAGAACTTTATCTCTAAAAGACTCTTTGAATGAAATGACCTACGGGTCGAGTATTTTACATATATATACAGTATGTATCATCGGATGAATGAGTCACATATATATATATATATATATATATATATATATATATATATATATATATATATGTATCACCCTATTTTTGGGTCTCGTGTCTGAAACATTAGTTATTCTTCATATAGCCTGCTTGTCACTAGTACTTCTATGGAGTACTGACCCCTCCGGGGGCCCTCACATTTTTCAGGTTGAGGCTAGAGCCCTACTACCTGCACCTTTGCCTAGGGTGACTGATCGAGAAGGAACACGTGGTTCGTGCTTCCATTCTTATTTCAAATGTATAAACCGCTCATGGATTTTTGAACAATATTTTCATCAAAATAGTTGGGGGCCTGCGTGCCCATGTTTGCCACGTGTGGCTAAGTATCAAACATTTTATTATTTCCGCATTTGTTTTATTATGATATTGATGTTGATTGTATGTGTTTACTAATCGGTTTGGCAATAGGATCAATCGGACGCCTTGTACAACTCAATAGGGATGAACTGTTGTTGTTCTTATCGGGTTGTACGGCGGTTGTCTACGTGGCTCGGATGCGGTCCGGGGCGTGACACATTTCTCAATTACATTAATTAGGCATCGTGAGGCCTCACTCAATCCTATTATTATACCGTGCTAAAGCCTCGCTCTTAGTCGTCCTACGTCGTGCTAGAGCCTCGCTCTTAATCGTTCTACGTTGTGCTAGAGCCCCGCTCTTAGTCATTCTACATTATGCTAGAGCCTCACTCTTAGTCGAGCTACATTAGGCTAGAGCCTTGCTCTTAGTCAATCTACATTAGGCTAGAGTCTCGCTCTTAGTCAATCTACATTAGGCTAGAACCTCGCTCTTAGTCGAACTACGTTATGCTAGAGCCTCGCTCTTAGTCACCATTAAGCCATGCTAAGTTATGCTTAAGTAGGGGGAAAGTATCTCCAGCTGCCCAATGACGTACGTCCCCTAATGCGATGTTTGCCTGCTGAGTTACCTTTGAGAAGAGGTCGTACGTCGCTGATAAGTTCGTATTACAACACGCATTTGATGCGTGTTGGGATCGGTTTTTGATGTTTTCCCTAACTTTTAGGTGCCACAAGTCTCATTTTTAGCTCAAGTTATGTGTACCAGGCGTCGGTTCGAGTTTTGTGTTATTTGGAGTCAAAATCAGGAATTTAGAGTCCGACACCGGCGCTTGAGGAGCAAACGGGATGATTTGAGAAGCATTAAAGAGTGAATTGAGAGCTTTGGAGTTCACCGGGAGGTTCACAATGAAGATTTTATGACAAAAGATCTCTAGGATTGGCTACGGGACAAAAGAAGACAAATAAAGCTTGAAAACGGCGTTCAGAATGACCTTATATTAATCGTTCAAGCATATCTCTTCGTAAAAGCATCCAAAGAACACGATTCAAGTTGAATATGAAAGCCAACTTCAAGGGCTACAAATCATATGAATACATCATTGGTAGAATAGGAGAGTAAGAAGGTGAAAACAGACGATGAAGTCACATGATCCCTGTTGCGATTTCAGAATGAGACCTTCCACCATTTTATTCATATCTCTTGATCGGATGATTCAAATCAAATTCGAAAAATTTGGTGGATAGAGGACTTCATTATCTACAACTTTCATGAAGGAAATTTTCTCAAATTCGGACTAGAGAAACAGTGAAAAACAGGACTAATGAAACAGTGAAAACACCTTGTGTTACGCGAAAAATTGTCCTAGTTCGACCACAATTCGTATTTCCCCCCCTTTTCTATAAATAAGGCCTTCGTAACCCTATTTTGGGGGGATGGACATTTCGGAGAGGCCTGTGCACGAGTTTAGAGTAGTTTTTCCGCTATTTTGCTCAATATCCTGGGATTATTTGTAAGTTCATTGTTTTTAATTAATGACAATTATTTCTATTCTTCCCAATTCTATTGATTCTTCAATTATGAGTCGGGAGTAGTTTTAATTAGGGATTTGGGATTGATGAAGGGGTTAATCATGATGTATGGCTAGTTTCTTGATGGTTTAATTGCATGAATGTCGTTTAATTTGTGTTGAACAATTTAATTGTTATCTTTTGTAACCTGGAACCGCGGCTAGACTTACAATTGCTTGTAGAATAAATTAAGAGAGATCTAGTTTATTCTGAGACACATTCACACACACTTAATCGTTCGCTAAGAGATTAGTAGCGATTAAGGGGCCGTAAACTCGCTCGTTTTGGCAATAATTTAGGATCCTGTCGCATGAGAGATCAACCTGGTCCCCTAAATTATTGTACTCTACGCCGCGAGAGCAGTAAGAACTTAGTATTAATTAGCTAGGCTCAATTAAATTAATTTCATGTAATTAAGCCTGATCTGCCAGAAATCTGATTACCCCGGAATCAATCCGTGCTCCCTTCGTCGTTAATTAAGAAGAACCCAATCAATTATTTTTATTCGCTCATTCGCATTAATTTATTTTCCAAACCACCCAATCTCGCACAATTGCATTTTTTTATTTTATTTCTTTTTAATCGCTGAATTTAGTTAATCTTTAATTTCCTTTTGTCCGTCCCTGTGGAGACGATACTCGTACTTTCAACCACTTTTCTACAACCTTTTTAAGTGCGAGAAAACTCACATTAGTCGTCACTGCCTTTGACCATATTGAGAGTATTTGTCCCCAGACTGTTGGGCTTTTGGGGACGTTCGTCCGGTGATCCTCAGGGGTTAATGGACGGTTCCTATTTGGGCCATTTACCCAAGAGTAATAATTATAGAAGGTCAAATAAAATGCCAATCGAGTTGGTAAAAATGTTCGAGCGACCCAAGTGCTGTGTTGACCCGATAACATAAAATATAATTAAAACGATCCGGAGAATACAACTTTCAAGACCAAATATACACTTGAGACATTGGAGTGACCTCCCACATGGGTGAGGGCCACCCCACGAAATTATCAATCAAATAACCATTGATTGACTCTTAATTGTGCGGATAAGCCAAGGGAGGGAAAAGGAGCACAGGGGTGAGGGTCTTAGAGATTCTTCACCGTGTATTTGGGTCTAATAAGCCAAAAGGACACCTCCCTATCATATACTCCATAATCTCGGCCAAGGCTCACCAATAGAAGAAGAAAACCTCTGCAAAATACTTCCTCCATAGCCAAGAACACAGCTCGAGCAAGGTTGGTCCAAGGAAGAAGATTAAAGAAGGAAAAAGTTAGGAAAAGTGCGAAGGATTAAGGTAATAACCTTATAATAACTTTTCCTCTACATTTTATTCCTCATATGATTTATATAGCGTATGGAGGACCCCTAGGAATGTTCTACAAGTTTAGAAGTGTAGAACGAGGGGTTGGAAGGTAGTTTTAAGTCCAAGAACGGACTTGGAAGCCAAAGCGACCGGTTCGTCAGAAAATAACCTTTTAGAGGTTATTTGTGATGATATGGGTTTTGTGATGATAAAACCTTGTTAGGAGCTTTACTAAGGAGTTCATAGTTGTCACCGGAGTTTCGCCGGAGTTCAATCGAGAAGGGTGAAACTTCTTAAAGCTCATTTGAGGTGAGTATGTCTGACTATATCGCTTATAATTAGTGAGTTAATTTCATAAGATTACCTAAGGTATTTAAATGTGATTTTGAAGGATTATTAAGGATTAATAATGCCTAAATGAAAATACTATTGTTTATGAGTAAGTGAAGCATGATATACAAATTTGGAAGAAATTGTGTATGATTATGTGATATGAAAGTGATGGCATGATAATGGAATTAACTGTAAAAATATTGTGATAAAATATACTTTTACTTCATGTATAGAATTCATGAATGGATAAAAGTGATATTTTTGATATTAAGATTAAATTATATTTGGATTGGAAAATCAATTGAGATGAACAATATGACTATGAATTACGAATTTGGTTGTTCCAAGATTAATTGACTAGTATTGAAATACTAGTCAGAATATTAGTATGAAAAATGATAGAATTAATTCAATTGTTTCGGATTGTGGGAAGTCAAATCTTAGGTAGTCTCAAGAGATACCTTAAGGTCAGATTGTATAAGCTCTAAGTATATTAGGAGTAGGCCTTAAAAGCTACTCAAGGTAAATTGATTCTAGGCATATAATTGGCTTAGGAATCGGATAGATTGACTAAGAGCGAGACTCTATCATGTCATAATGGTGACTAAGAGCGAGACTCTAGCATAACATAGTTCGACTAAGAGCGAGGCTCTAGCCCAAATGTAGATTGACTAAGAGCAATGCTCTAGCCTAATGTAGATTGACTAAGAGCGAGGCTCTAGCCTAATGTAGGTCGACTAAGAATGAGGCTCTAGCATACTGTAGAATGACTAAGAGCGATACTCTAGCACAACGTAGAACGACTAAGAGCGAGGCTCTAGCACGACGTAGGATGACTAAGAGCGAGGCTCTAGCACGGTATAATAATAGGATTGAGTGAGGCCCCATGATGACTAATTAATGTAATTGAGAAATGACTCATGACGGTAAAATAACTTATCGAAGGTTATGACAATCGTGACTAATAGTCCCGGGGGATAGGGGTGGACGTTTCAAAACGAATATAGGCCACAGGCCGACTACTTTACTTTATATACAAAGTCAGTATATTTTAAAAAGAGGGTAACCGGGGGTTATGGCCTATAAAGTAATATCACCCTATATTGAGGGTCTTAGAAATTGAAACATTGATTATATACAGTGTAGTTTTCATTGTACTTTTCAAATGCTTCAAAGTACTGACCTCCCCTTCACGGGGGAGGCCACGTCACAGTTTCAGGTAGAAGTTGAAGCTTGCTACCATCGCTCGTTGCTTCGGGGAAGTCTAGGAGAGGAGACGTGGTTCATGCTTCCTCTGTTCCTGTTTTAAAGACAATTATATAAATGCTCATGGATATAATTTTTTTGAATAATTATTTGGGGGCTTGTATGCCTAAGTTTTCCAAGTGTGGCTTGAACACTTGTAATATTGTTTCCGCTGCTTTAATGAATATTTTACATTATGTTTGTTAATGGATGTACTACGTGTGAATGATATTCAGACGCCTTGTATAGTATGGATGCAGGGGCGGATCCAGGAATGAAGAGTGGGGTGGGCTTAGCAGGAAAAAAATTGTTATTGCAAACAAAAAGTTTAGCTTAGGCTGCTTAGGGCCGTAATCGAATTGAGTTTTTTTCGAACTACACGAATTCGAGCGTGATTTCGAATTTAATTTAGCGATCTGAGCTTAAGAAGCTTTTTTTAACTCGAACATGAGCTAGATTTTGAGTTCGAATAGTTGTTCAAGCTGAGTTCGAGCATAGTGGTATTCGGTTTGATCCGGACTCGAGTCTATCAATAACTCGTAAATTATAGGAATAAATTTTATTTATCTTAAAATTTAAACATTTTCATTGCAATTTTTTAAATATATTTGAACTCTAAAAAAATAGAGTTCATATATCTATTTTATTCAAGCCGAGTTTGAGCATAAATTAAATTAATAATCAAATAGAATTACATAACTATTAAATAAAACTAATGCACAAAATAATAGATTAAAAGAGTATAAGAGTATGTGTGGATGGCTGGACAACTAGACTCGGCTAGAGGCAGCTAGTCGGACTCGAATAGACTAGAGGGGCAGGCCTCTTGCATAATTTGCAGCTGACTCCAAACATCAACTACATACGATTGTTTAATACTCCGTATGTAAAGTTTTGCTCCTCAATTTATCCCACACCGACTGCAAGGATGGTTCACCCTCCTGAGTGTCCTATATATAAATCACTTCTTGGTGCAATCACACCAAGCTCTACTATTACGCATCGGGATCATTTGTTCTCGGGATCATTTGTTCCCATGACTATGGGTTTTAAACAAAGTTTGGGCAGCCTTTTGCTTTTAGAGCTTCTTAGAACACTTCCTTGTAGACTTGGGGTGGGCTGAGTTTTAATTTTTGGGTGGGCTGAAAATTAAATCTTTTTCTATACTAACAAAAAAAATTGGGTTGGGCTGGGCTAGAGCCCACCCTAGGCCCTACATAGATCCGCCCATGTATGGATGTGCTGAACTGTGGTTGACTATTCGTACTGTACAGCGGGTTGTTGACATGTCCGGGTAGGTCCGGGGCGTGACAAGGTGATAATCAAGTACTTGGATTGTTTAAGGATCGGGTAAGTTCAATTTCTGAATTGATATTTCTCCCATTATGTTTGGGTTACAAGAAATTCAATCTAGGATAATCTTTAAAGGTACTCAAGAATCTAGGCACAAATTCAAGAGCACAAACTAGTGAGTATATGGATTGTTATCTTTAATTTGAGTGCCAAAGTGATGAAGATATGTGTATATCTTGTATCTATGTTCTCTGTACGAAATATGAAGATATTTATCCATTTCAACCATTCCAAGCAGTTACAACCCGTTTGGGAATAACTGTAGCCGTTTCTGGAAAACTGCACAAAATTGTCTCAACCGCTCTAGACCTCGATCTAGAACCACAAAACTGGTCTACTGAGAGTTATACCTCGAGTTCTACCTCGAGTTCCATTGTCGTAGACAATTTCAAATAAAACTCGTTCTTATATATGTCAGGTTTTCACCTCTCCAGCTCAGACCACGCTCATACAACACACACACACCAAAGCACCACCGGAAGGGACAAGAACACTCAGACCAGCCCAGCCATCTCAACGCACGCCAAAGGTCAGAAAAGGGGAGGCACAGAGAGAATACCACAGAGGGACCGGAATGGAGAAGAGACGGAAGTCTCTCTCTCTCTATCTCTCTTAACCTCACACTCTCTCTCTAACCGAAGACCTCTACGTCAACCAAAGGCGTAGAGGAGTTTAAGTACCCGGGCATAGGGGAAGCCCTAAAAGAGGGTTCCAGAAGAAGGGCTAGCGGCAGAACAACATGGGCCAGGGCAGAGGTAAGCAAACATGCCCAATACAAGAGGAGAGGGTTGCCTTGGCCCGTGGGGCCAATACATCCACACTCTCCACCTTATTGGCCATCATCGGTGGTGCATGGTATCACAAAGTAACATGAGCACGTGGTTCATCATCGCTGGGTCACCAGTGATATCCTAAAGACATAACTGGCAAACAGATTGGAGATACACAAAATACTCCCAAAAGGAAATTGGAGAAGTACCCAAGGTACTCTCCCTAACCGTGAGAGTAGATTCTCTCCAACACTACGCTTTCAAGAATCTACCCTCCAACATACCCAAAACCTGCAAACAGAGTTAACCGCAGTCCAAATTCAAAATTCGTTTACAAGACAAAAGTTTTTCAGCAGATAGACACTTCGTCACCATATCTGCAGGGTTGAACTCTGAGGGTATCTTGCACAGCTTCACTTTACCTGCATCTAAAACATCACGAATAAAATGGAACCTCACATCAATGTGTTTGGTCCTGTCATGAAAAACAGGGTTTTTGCAAAGCTGGATAGCAGACTGGCTATCAGAAAACACAGTAACATCCTGTTTGAGAAAACCTATTTCAGCAACAAGACGACTTAACCAGATGGCTTCCTTGAAAGCTTCTGTAGCTGCAACATACTCAGCTTCAGTGGTAGATAAGGCAACAATTGGTTGTAACTGAGATTTCCAACTAATACACGACCCACACAAAGTGAACACATATGAAGTGGTAGATTTCCTATTGTCTTTATCATTAGCATAGTTAGAGTCAACATAACCACTCAGTTTCACACCTTCACTACACTTAGTAAAAATCAAACCATGATTAGCAGAAAATTTCAAGTATCTCAAAAGCCATTTCAAAGCATTCCAATGAGACATACCAGGATTAGACATAAACCTACTCAAACAACTCACAGCATAGGCAATGTCAGGTCTAGAACTAACCATCAGATACATCACAGAACCTATAGCATTGGAGTAAGGAACAGACTTCATAAGCTCAATTTCAGAATCAGTCTTAGGAGACTGATTCTTACTTAGCACAAAATGAGAGGCAAGAGGAACATGCACAGGTGCAGCAGAAGACATATTAAACTTACTCAAAACCTTCTCAACATACGAAATCTGATTTAGAACAAGAGTATGCTTGCTCCTGTCCCTAATAATGTTAATACCAAGTATCCTCTTGGCATCACCAAGATCTTTCATCGCAAAGTTCTCACAAAGACATTTTTGAACAGACATAATAGATTTAAGACAAGGGCTAATAATCAACATGTCATCCACATAGATTAACAAGAACACATGTACAGAATTAGTATTCTTGAAATAAAGACAATGATCACAGGCAGATTTCACAAATTTCATAGACTGCATACACTTGTCAAACCTAATATTCCACTGCCTAGGGGATTGCTTCAGACCATACAAGGCCTTCCTAAGCAGACAGACATGGTCACTCCTCTTGGGATCCACAAAGCCCTCAGATTGAGTCATGTAAATTTTCTTATCCAATTCACCATGCAGAAATGCAGTGGTGACATCCATTTGTTTCATCTCCCAGTCATGGTGAGCAACCAATGCCAACATGATTCTAACAGTAGTAAACTTAACTACAGGAGCAAAGATTTCGGCATAATCTACCCCCTCTTTTTGAGTAAACCCCTTGGCAACTAACCTGGCCTTATACCTAATGTTATTACCCGGTTCTTCCTTGACCTTAAACAGCCATTTGCACTCAACCACTGAGCTGGCATTAGGTCTAGGAACAAGGGTCCAAGTCTGGTTCACTCTTAGAGAGTCCATCTCACTTTTCATGGCCTCAAGCCATCTCCGAGACTCTCTGGACCTTATAGCTTCACTATAGGTCTTAGGTTCATTTAGGTCTAGGGTCTCAAACACAGTAAAAGCAAAATCAGATATATCACACGCAGTAAAAGCATAATCAGACAAAGTATCAGATTTTCTCTTAATGGTTCTTCTACCCCTATCCCTAACAAGTTGGTAGTCATACAGATCAACATTATCATTCTCAGCAGAATCATCAAACACATTGGTCTCACCAGACAGAGAATCATTTTGCACATGGTTATCTTGAGTGTTGAACTCCACCTCACCAGAGGTAGCAGTATCAGAAAAGTATTAACATGCACATAAGAAGGGATGACAGGAACAACAGGAGGAGTGTCATACATAATAACAGGAATAACAGGTACAAAAGGAGTCTGAGGCTCCACCTCAACAGGTGTCCTCTCAGGCTCATGCTCAGAAACAGGTTTAAGCAAGCAAGGGAAATCAAATTCATTAAAAATTACATCCCTACTTATAACCACCTTAAAACCAGGCACACTTCTATCCCACAACCTGTATCCCTTTACCCCATCAGGATAACCCAAGAATACACACTTTTTGGATCTAGGATCTAACTTATCAGTTTTCTGATGAACATAGGCAGCACACCCAAAGACCCTAAGGTTTGTTAGGTCAAGAGGCCCACCAGTAAACTTAACTTCAGGGCATTGACCCCCTATGGGAACAGAGGGAGATCTATTAATCAGATAGGTGGCAGTGGTGACTGCTTCACCCCAAAACTTCTTAGGTAAACCTAAGGTAGACAACATACTCATAACCTTGTCAAGAAGGGTTCTATTCATCCTTTCAGCCACCCCATTCTGTTGGGGGAGTAGGGCACAGTCTTATGTCTCCTAATGCCTGAAGTGGCACACAGTTGGTCAAGCTCTTGGTTACAGAACTCTAGGCCATTATCAGTCCTAAGGGTCTTAACATTCTGTCCAGTGTGATTTTCTACAAGTAACTTCCAGGCTTTAAACTTCTCACAAACATCAGACTTATGTTCTAGAAGATAAACCCACACTTTCCTAGAGAAATCATCAATTAAGGACAAGAAATACCGTTTCCCCCCATGTGTGGGAACACTAGCAGGACCCCAAACATCAGCATGCACATATTCAAGCACAGAGGAGCACTTAGTCATATTAGGGTAAGAGGATAGAGGGAAATGGACTCTATGTTGTTTACCAAGTACACATGATTCACAGAAAGTCAAAGAGTTTACAGAGTCTTTACCAAGGTAACCA